GTTGAAACACCTACCTGTTCTGCTTTGTCCATATGAAAATGCATCTCTTTCATAAAGCCTTTCCTGGTCTCCTCAACATGTAAAACCCTCCTATGAAAACTTCATAAGACTTTGTATCTCTCTTAAAGATATTATTATACTCTACTTTGCTTCACAGTTATTTATAAACCTCATTACTGACCCCTTCCCACATAAGGCTAAAGGTAAGAATAATAATTCATTCATCATTATGTTAGCTGCAACACTTAAATTATTCTTTGTATATAGCAAGTTCTCAACAACTAATGCTTTGACTGAATTGACCAAGACAATAACGCTGGCAATGAATCACACATGCAACTATCATGAAATAAGATGGCTATTCATCATTCTAAATAATTGAGAAGCTTTTGAAGCAGTCCAACCTTACAGGAAAATTGCTAAGTTAACTTATTACATGTATCAGATCTTGAAGTCATGTAACCACTGAGTATGCATGAATATTACATATGAGGAAAATATTTTTAGTGGACATAAACTTGCACAAATTTGTGGTGCTGAGAGGTTATACAGAAAGGATGCTGAAACAGCATGTAAATATACTTGGGTTCTAGTTCCAGGTTTATCAGCTGTGACTTTTTAATCACAGTGTCTCCTGAATATAAATTTCCAAAGTATAAATGGAAGAGTAATTCTTTTTTTTTTTTTTTTTTTTTTTTTTGAGACAGAGTCTCACTTGTTGCCAGGCTAGAGTGAGTGCCGTGGCGTCAGCCTGGCTCACGCAACCTCAATCTTCCGGGGCTCAGCGATCTACTGCCTCAGGCCTCCCCTAGTAGCTGGGACTACAGGCATGCGCCACCATGCCAGCTATTTTTTTGTATATATATTTTAGTGTGGTCAATTATTTATTCTATTTTGGTAGAGACGGGGTCTCGCTCAGGCTGGTTTCGAACTCCTGACCTTGAGCAATCCGCCGCCTCGGCCTCCAAAGTGCTAGGATTACAGGGTGAGCCACCGCCCGCCAAGAGTAATTCTTGATCTGAATATTTATATGAGTGGTTCTCAAATTTAACCGTGTATAACAGAATAACTGGAAGTTTGGATCAGTAGTATACTTGTATTTCTAACAAAAATTCCCAGGTAACAATGGTCAGGGACCATTCAATGAGAACCACTGCCTTAAAGGGTAGTTCTAAGATTAAATGAGATAATGTATATAAAAGCATTTTAAAATTAGACACACATTTTTTTTTTTTTAGAGGTGGTCTGTATGTTGCCGGCTGGAGTGCAGTGTATCTCACAGGCGCGATCCAGCTCTGATCAGCACGGGAGTTTTGACTGCTGTTTTCCGCCTGGCCGGTTCACCCTCCTTAGGCACTGGGTGGTCCCCGCTCCGGGAGGTCACCATATCGATGCGAACTTAGTGCGGACACCGCATCAGGCTAGCGCTCAGCCAGAACTCCTGGCTCAAGCGACCTCCATCTCAGCTCGCCGATAGCTGGGACTACAGCGGCGCGCACCGCGTCGGGCCTAGCACAATTTACAATTTACTTTTATGAACATTTTTATAAACCTGATGTTAGTGCTAACATTCTGTTTGAATTACCCAGTGTCTTGGATGATAGGTAAACTGTATTCTACATAGGCTATGAAACCAGATTTCGAACGGCAAGCAAACTAATTTTTTTTCCACATACTATATTTCCTACTAATGAAAATATTAACTTCACATGGCCATCTATTTATAACCTTCAGTTAGATTAGCAAAACTTATTCTTAACACTGATGGTACTTAATAGTGGACCACTGTACATATTTTACTCTTAAAATATTTAATTAAACAAATGCAGATATATAATAAGATGACATAGTCAACTTCGATGTTAAAAAGGAAAATAGATTTATCTCAGGTGTAATTACCCTGGTCTTCTTCATAGTAGCAGCTATGTAACCCATATAATACTTCAAAAAAAAAAAAAAAGAAGAAAAAAAAAAGAATTTGAAATTAAAGAGTAATGATGACATGGGCATATGTATGTATGATATCTACTACTGAGACTATTTCAATTTTTGGTTAAAAACAAGTTCTTAAAAATCTTGAGAAATTCAGTTAAGATCTTTAAGACATTTTTATCACAAAGCCAATAAACTTCTATGTAAATGAAAAGAACTTTGGCTCTCAAGGTTTTGAATATCTCTCTTAACAGAAGTTCTAACTCTGACAAGTTGATAGCAGGAAATGAATAACATTAGCAGGGATTTCAATATTAATAGTACTAATGTATACTGATATAGAAAGCAATGACTCACAATGACATGTGAAGTTTCTTACTTCAATAATGTTATATCAATCAGTGAGCTACCATTACTTTGTTGGTGCAGAATACGAATTTTTTTTCCTTCCAGATTAAGCTTTGCTTGGCAAAGAAACTTTTCATGATTTCATGACTTTCAAGTTTCCATAACATAAGAATTACGTCTATTTCACACACATATAATGGATAAAAACCAAGCTGCACTGAGTGTTCTTTGCACACCGAAATGAAAGGATCAATTTACATGACCTACTTCAAATTCTCAGGGTTGACATGTGCGGAAAGAGTCACTGTCATGCACACTGTGGAAATGTAAACTGGTATAGTTATTTTGAAGGACAATGTATGCCTGCAAAGGAGGAGAATGGAGAAGAGCCAAAAAAAAAAAGGGCAGTGTGGCAAAATCACATTATGTTTTGAATGCCATTTGACATAGTAATTCTATTTCATAGAGCATGTCCTACATATGTATTACCACAAATAGGTAAAGATATATATAAAAAGATATTCTTAACAGCAGTTTCAACATGAAAAAATAAGAAATAATCCAAATGTCTATCAATAAGGGGTGAGATAATACTTTATAGAATAGTCATAGAATAAAAAACTATCAGCCATTAAAAAGATATATATATATATATATACAAGCACACACATATATATTTGTTGTTGTTGTTTGTTTTGTTTTTAACTGACAGAAAAGTACTGTGACATAATTAGAAGGTAGAATTAAAAAGAGAAGCAAGGAAGCATATTAAACAGTAGACAACTCAGTGGTTACCAGTGGAGGAGAGAGGTGGTCATGATCTGAATGGGTGGACAGGTTAACTATCTTTTGCCTTAAAGGTTAAATGTGTACTGAAGTCAAATAATTGTTGGAATACTCATAGAAAATTTTTTCCAAAGAGTTGAAAGATTCAGAAACTCTAAAACATGGTATATAAATTAGAAATGGTAACAATCATTGAAGGTTCTTAATAAATAAACTATTCTCTGGTAATACATTTTTGACTC